CCATTGCTGTTAGGTCCGGTTGGAGGCCATCGCTGTGAGGTTGGAGACCATTGCTGTGAGGTTCAAGACAAATTTCATCAAATTTCCTGCTCTTTGCGTCGCCAAGGCGCTGTCGCTCTTCGCCCCAGTGGCCTTCGCTTTCACCGCCGTGGCGGCCGCCTGCGAAAGGCAAACGCCCATGGCGATCGACCGGGTCCAAGGCCGACGATCCGTGGACGAAGCGGGGCTTTGCGGACTGTTCCACCTTACCAGTGGGCACCGCTTTGCAAGGTTTGCTTCCATAGCCACATGATCATCAAGAGGGTTCACACTCCGAAAAGCGTTGCATTTTCAACTTGGTTTGGACGGTTACGGCATTGGTCGGAAACTCAACACAACGGAATGCACCTTGTCAACGAGCAACGAGTACAACGAGTGCCATGCGTGTCGGGGTGAACCGACAGTGGCCAGGGTGTGCACTTGCCTTGAACGCGCTGGTGGCGGCCTGGGGCCTAGAGGAGCAAATCGATATGGCCTAGGGCCTAGTGTTGTCCTAAGATGGTCTAAAATCCAAGATAGGGTACTGGAATGATTCAGGATAGAGACTAGGATACTCATTAGCATCATTAGAAAGGGTAGAAGCCTGTAGAATACTCCTTGCTATAGAACGTTCTCCCAAGAAAGTACACTGTTTAGCAAGGAAAGGAGAGGCCGGACGATTGGAGCATACGAGGACGCGTTGACAAGCGGACAAGCCCCTTCCAAGTCTTTTCCTGATAACCCGTGGCTTTTCACGCGAAACCTCAGCCTGGACCACTTGGATCATCCACAAACCCTGCAAAATGTTGATTCAGCAAAGCCGTGCAGGTAACCTTGAACATCGCTTACTCCCGGCTCCTGCCACTCAGCTCAGCGAAGGGCTGGTCGACATGTTCTCCTCTCCACGCCTTCGTAATGTATCAACCAAGGAAGGTGGCAAGTCCTGTGACCTTCACCGTCTTTGGCACGGCCAAGGACGGGATCGGACTTGTCTGGGGCAATCAAGCAGCTTTTCACTGTCACAGACTCCAATAATCAGCAAAGTCAAAAAAGATGGTGGCAGCCGAGGCCAAGGTTTTGAATGATTTGGGATTGTTTGATACCCTTCAGACCCGCTTTCACCAGGATGTGACGACTGCGGGCCTGTCGTTGGACATGGTTGGTGGGACAATCACGCCTTTGCAGTTGTGCGGCTACGCGACCACACTGCCACTAGTCCGAAAGCAAATGGCGGCATGTTGATCGAAATGCTCGGCTTTTCAATATGGGGTTTTTGGCCAAAGTGTGCCATCTAGGTGGAGGCCTTTTCACACACTCCCTGGTGGACTGTTTTGCTTCCAAGCCAAGACAACACACCTTTGAAGCCTAACGGAGGTCTTACACTCCGAATTCTCTGAGCTTTGGCATCTCCCGAAACACAGGTTCGGCATGGTGTACTATGACCGCGTGAAGCAACTCCAGTGAGGTTTCACGTGCGTGAAGCGCTGGCCAAGCTGAAGGTTTCGCCAGGTGAAGTCCGATTGGGTTGCTAAAAGGGCGACAAAAAGAAGGGAAAACGTCCTCAGGCAGCTTAGAGCCAGGTCAATATAGTGGTGCAGTGCTGAGCTGGGAGCTGGTAGCTGGGATCTCGCTTGGTTCATGGTGGGGACCCTCCAATGGCGGTTCCCAACTCCAGTGGCTAGATGTGTTGAGAATTTGGTCAAGATTCGGCGACCTGCCCAAAGCCGTTACCGACCACCGCAGCTTTTCAATTGCAGGAGCTCTAGATGATCGAAAGTGTCCAAGAGCGAGCAACAACCACAGATAGACCATGATGCACTCCATGCAGCTCTCTTCAGACCATCCACTTCAGTTCTCTTCAGACCATGGTTGACCATCTCCACAGCCAATGCCGTGACAACCCCCAGAGCTCCTGGCTGTTTTCGGGAGTTCCGATCTCTCCCGAGCTTGAACGCCGGAGACGGATGGAGGCAGTTCCGGAGCGACGATATGCGGGCGGCGGGCGTGAACGTGTGGAGCTGTTTGGGGTCGGGCGGTTCCAGTCAGAGCGAAGGGGTCTGATGGGTTTTGATTCGCACAATCCATAGTGAGAGAGACACTCTGAGCTGAGAATAGCCCCATGTGGATCAACAGATGAGGAAAAAAAAGAAAGAAACAAGCTCCAGTCTTGTCCTTGATCTAGTCAGATAGACTATCGGGAGATGTGCTTGGAAAGGGGGATCTGCTTGCAGAATGAATAGGGCCTAGAGTGTTGATTTGTGAGACTGATGCCATGCGCACATGAACTTCAGAAGATGAAGATCTCTGGTCTTCATTTGCCAGAAGAATCTCAGCATACCAGGCCTTGTGGGGGAGCCTCGCCCACTCAGCGGGGACAGATCCAAACCATGTGCTGCAGGTGGAGCAGTATCCTCGTGACAGGCCCGTGCGTGATGGATGTTTAGCAGAGGTTTGGGTATTTGTGTAGGACAGTCCCAGTGTGGCGGTGCTGGAATTGGGCAGCACAAGAAATAGTGAACGAAGGGAAAGCGAGGAAGATTTGATGACTTGCCTGTCCTTCTTGCCAATGCAGAGAGCTGTGAGTAGAATTGCTTTGATTTTTTGGCCTTGTGCCGCTCATTTCCCAGGCTTTTCCAAAGTTTGAGTGACACGTCTGCATGCTGCGAGGCTTCTCTCCCTGAGGCGTTACGATCCGACCCTGATTTGCATTTGGGGCTTGTTTTCGCAGTTAGTAGGTAGGGCCAGGTAGGGTTGACGCGGGGTTCCATCAATTTCAACTTTTGGCTTCGTTCGTGGTAGATGGTCATGAGCGTTTAGCGACTTTTCTATGACATCACTTCGGTATCCCGAAGGGGATGACCTTTTGCTCAGCCTCAGCGATTCCAGGAGATAGTCACCTGAGATAGTCACATAGTCCTAGGCTGATTTCCAACAGACTCCCAGTCTGAAGCTGTGTCTGAAGCTGATGGGCCACAACTCTTGTTGGTCACAACTCACAGCAATGAGAAGCAGTGGGAGAGCTTAGTCTCAAAGCATCGCGAGCTTTAGGACCAGCGTAAGTGAGCTGGCCATCTCGTTGATCGCAGCTGGGTGGCCCAGACTCGGTCTGCGTGGGAAGTCCTGAAGTGGTTCTTCAGAGAGACAGGAATTTCTTTGGGGGGACTCTTAGGACATGTCGTTTCCACGGATTTCAAGACGCTTAGAGGGTCTGAATTAGATCAGGTTGCTTGAAGAGGATAGGAGTTGTTTTCTTTCAAATTTTCAGAAGCCCAGGGCCCAGACCCATTTTTCATGTTGGTAAATATAAGCGGTTCTCAAAATCACTGCAGAAGACATTCAACCAAAACTCTTCGGGTTTTGACTGGTCTTCACCAGGTCACCATGTATGGAAGATTCGGCCAACGTTTACTTTTGGCTCATGGGTTTTTAGCATGTTCCGAACATTTCTATTCTTTGTGCTTCACGGGAATGCAACACACACACACACATGCTGTAACAAAACACAACACTCTGGGACAAAAGAACAGCCAAGGCGAAACAGGCTGGAGTTACTGGACCGAAGACTAGCACGCACTTGCAACTGGCTACCTATCCCTTGTCTGATGCCAGAGCTCCCAGCTCCATGTTTTGAAAACAAGAACATCTCACTTTGACTTGACAGCGGAAATGATCTTCCAAGACCGTTCGTGGGCCGCGTTCCTTGGTTGATCCTCCAATCGCTCAACACTTCATGTCAGGCGCCGACGAGGCGCCGAGTGCGGACTGGCATGGTGAGGGCTGTTTCGGCTGTCAGGTGTGTGGCTCTTCGGTGCAAGGTCAATTTTCCATCAAGTTAGACTGTAAAGATAGATTGTGTAGAATTCAGGGGGCGAAGGACAGACAGGCAAACTGAGGAACCATTGCAATAGGTGGTCTATCATCAGTTCAATTGTGGATTCGACTGGTTCACAATGTCTTTTGAGGCAGTCAATAGGGCTCGAGTAGCACCTCATCGTATGTGCATTTTCCAAGCCTTTCTGCAGTGCGCAAGACGACAAATAGAAGGGCCAGAAAAGTGACCTCTATACAGTTTCGTTCCGGAGCTTTCGCTGACTCCTCTGACTGAACAAGTCCAGCTAATGGTATTGTAAGATTCACGGCCAATCAATCCCAGTTGGTGATCGGTGTCCAAATGTTCCCAGTTCTTAATCTACACTTGCAGGTCAAAGAAGAGTGCCAAGCCAGAGATACAGGCACAGCTAGTCAGGGCTGGTCAGAAGAGTGAGCATCTGGACGGATGAGAGGTTTTTCGGCGAGTCGTTTGTGCCCTGACCTTTTCCAACTTCAGGGCACTTCGACTTACTTCGCTTCGACCCCTTTGGGCCCTCTTAGAGAGATGGCCTCCAATCCACGGTCCATATTTTTGCATGTTTTTGCATGGTTTCCAGTTTTTGTTTTGAACAAGCACCACCTGCTTCAGCCTGCATTGAATCTCTGCAGCGGAACTTGACATAGATTCATCAAGAACTCCATTGAGGGTCTATGTCTTCCAAGTTCTTTCCCAGTTGCACTCATAGGTTGGTAAAACCCTGACTGGGCCACCATCATCGACTGACAATGACCCTCGCAGATGGTCAGGGTCCTTCTGGGCCACAGGAACCTGCCCCAGCACAAGCAGCAAAGGGCGCTGTTGAAGCGCGGACCCCTGGACGATGGTTGGTCTTGAAAGGAGGCCTGGCCCCGGTCACACGGTTTTTAATTCAGATTTGTACGTTCAAGTCGGGTGCAGGGTTCCCCTATTTGGGGCACACCGACCTTGTATTGTGATCCTATTGTGATCCATTGTGATCCTTGTGAGCCAGGAGCATTGCCTTTGTAAAGGTCAGGGATCCAACTTTAGGTGATGCCTTTTCTTGATCCATTTGTGTGAGCCGCCCCTGATTTGAAACCAAGAAATTGAGCATTGCAGATGAGCCGAATGAGTACTTCCGCAACTGGGAAACACCTTTTTGTATAGCCGACGCCCTGTCCGTGTGGTGGCTAAGGCGCCCTTGAGCTATGGGCAGGCCAGCTTGTGTGGAGATGGGCAATTATTTCATTTCATGGCCTTAAAGTCGTCTTGACTATCTTGGCTGTCAGCATTGCCACGGAGTCCACCGACAGAGCTTGTGACACGGGGCTTCCGTCAGCCGACACCAGCCCGCTAAACCGGGGCAGGGGACTGCCGAAACCTGGGATGTTCTCGCTCCATCTTTCCGAAACCAACAACAAGCTACTAGGGGCTCCTGGCATCGCTACGAACGGAGCAAGGACGCTACGAACGGGGCTCCTGGCCGTACTACTAGGAGCATTCTTGCTACTAGTAGAAATGTCTACGGCGTGGCATCGCTCCCGATCTGACTCGACGTGGCCGGTGTGGCATCGCTCCCGATCTGCAGGTGGAGACTGGCTTGAGCGGCTTGCCAGGCCCGATCAGATCGATCCGTCGGACCAAAAGAATGATCGATCCGGGGGGTTTCATGGTGGGATGAGGCTTTGAAAGTGGATTCCAAGATTCCAAAAGAGTATTATAGTCGATTCTCTTCCCCTTCTTGCTGCTGTAGGACTTGAAAAGTCTACTGTTGGGAGGTTTGTAAAATGATGTATAATGAGATCTTGAACCATAAGTCTTGTAGGAATGTTCAGAGTCTTTGGTCCAGAATCCTTGTCCTTTTTCTGTGCCTTCAAGCTGTCAGAGCTGCCCCTTCTGCACACGGAGTGTGAACCGCTTGCCGAGAACGCAGCATTCCACGCTCCAAGGATACCCTAGAGGGCTCCTTCCCGAGTGGGAGGCGTCCGGACGGCCCAGCCTGCGGAGACGTCGCCGGTTTCAAGATGCAAACTGGAACAAGGCAGTTAGGTTTTGGAGGTGGTCTCTGAAACTGATTGTTTTTTCATGATTTTAAAACCTCTCTTCCCTGGTGGTGCATTGTTCCGGTTCTACTTGGCAGTGGAAAAGCATCACCAGGAAGGCTTCTGCAAGGCAAACCTCCCCCCGAATCTTGCGCTGGCTGCTAGCGGGCCAGTCTTAGCGCTGCAGACGTTTGACCAGTTTGACCCACCGTCGTGTTGTTGGTGTTTCTTGAGTGTTGGAGGCCATCGCTATTGGGTTGGAGGCCATTGCTTCTCACTGCGCCTACCAATTCGGTACTCAGGCCCCCAACCGGTGCACCTCCAGGTGGGGGGTGGAGGATTCGGTGCCGCGGGAGGTGGCGATCGTCATGGCGGGTTTGGGGGGGGGCTGCCAGGTCTCTGAAAAGAATCTCCGGGGACCTGGTGGAGTTCATTCATGCTCGATCTACTCTTTCGTTCTTGGACAGATTCTAGACTATTTATGATATCACCAAGGAAGTCATGACGATCCACTCGCATTCCAAGCCACGAGCCGAAGAAGACTCCAGTTTGCTGGTGGACCTTGCCAGGCTTTGCGTTCGATGCGCCTCCCAGCAGGTTGGGATCTGAGAGGGTGGCTCTTCCATGAGCAAAGAGAGGTTTGGGGTCTTCCCTCAAATCCTCTCTCATGGGAGAGAGGCCCAGTTGAGATCTTTGATATCTGGGATCCTGAGAAAGTATGGCAATCTACTGGACCCTGCCCGACCAGAATGTGGATGAGCTTGTTTTTTGCTGCTTTCATCTGCTTTCCGAATCAGGGAGGCATCAAAATGTGATTGCAACAGCTTGCAGAGGAGGTGATATGGGGCCTACTGCTTCCTACAAGAATAATCTCTCGAAAGCCACAGTTTAGAGGACAAAGGGATTCTTGACCTTGGCGTTTTGGTGGCAGGTTTGTAAGGCACCAGAACCACCAGAACTCTCTTCTTGCTGCTTTCAGGCCAGTAGAAGCTTTCGAAGACGATGGTTTCTGGGAAGAGAGCCGTCAGCTCAGATTCTCTGGCAAATCCGCACTCTACTTGCCATGGCCTCCAACCTAATAGGGATGGCCTCCAAGCTACTTGCGATGGCCTCCAACCGATCGAACAAGACACATCAAAATGAGATGGTCACCTGGTCTGAGGCTTGCATCTATCGGCCTATGCCGGCCCAGTTTTGGGAATCGCCGGCGGCCTGGTGAGTCCAGTGCCACCGGCCCTGCATGATCCACGCTCCGCACCGGCTTCGCTGTGGCCGGGTGTCGGAGCTCCGGGCCTCGACTGGCCGGTCACCGCGGAGCCCGTCCGGGAAGCGCCACCGCTGGAGCCCCCGCCGCCTCCGGAGTCCGCTCCGGGTGGGTTGGAGCTCGAAGAGAAGCCTGAAGCAGTGCCTGAAGCCACTGCAGGTGAGAAGTTGTGGGAGAATGAGCAAGCTGTGATGATGTGATGTTTTTGAACTTGGTAACACGGGAAGCGGATATTGACCTTATCAATCAATATGAATGGTTGGTTGGGTAGGGACATATTGAGATGTGAAACATATAGTGAGGGATCCTCAATCTTATACGCCATTTTGGCTCAAGATTGGGGATTCCCTCGATTTTCTTCGCCATGCCAGCGATCCACAGCACCGAGCTTTCTGCTTGGCGTGTGGTCGCACGGCGTTGGAGACGGGGGAATCGGGGACGTGAGGCCAGTCAGTTACCCCGAGAGGAACGACTGGCCTCATTGGCGGCCCGCGGCGCGTACATCGAGGCGCAGTGGAACTCGGTGTACAGGGCACCTGATCTTCAAGCAGATTGGTGCCGAGCTTGCGCCCAGTGGACCACTTCCTGGTGCGAAGGGTGCTACGCCCGCTGTCAGCCTGGCGACGAGTTCAGCGCCATCTGCCACGCCTGTGACGGCGAACACCGTGTCTGTGACCGGTGTGAGGCACGGGCAGTGACCTGGCAGCAGGGGCATCAGCGCTACGTGGAGGAGAATGGAGAGGACCAAGAGAGCCAGGTCCAAATCCATGGGCTTGGAACCCAAACGGAAGCCCCATTCTTCCGCGAGGCCAGTGAGTCAATCAGCCTCAGCGAGCTTGGCAGCGCCCTCAACATGCCCACCGACCGCATCCGGGAGTACATCATCGCCCAGCTGCGCAGCCATGAGGCCGGATCAGCCCATGGAGGGACAACTCCAGGAACTCCTGGTCGATCGGCCCATTGTCCTCCTGAATCACCTCGTGGACCTGGGCGTCCAGACCTGTGAGGACGTCCATCACCTATGGCCCACGGGAGGTGACTTGCTCGATGAATTGGAGCGCCGGCATGGTGGTTTGGCGGCTGAAGAGGGCTTCACCATTGTCTCGTTTTGGACCCTTGCGTCCCAACGAGCGCAAGCCACCTACAAGCACCACCTCCGTGAGATCTGCATCCATCGCCAGTCAGCTGTGGCGACTTCCGCTCCTCCTCGCCCGGCGGAAGCCTCAACTGCAGTCGCTCGCCCGGTGCGGCGATTGCTGGCAACGGGGGAGGTCCGTGAACCCCCCCTCATGATGAGTTTGGCCGCCGCTGACCCGCATGTCAAGGAACAAGCAGCCAAGGTGGCCAAGGTGCAGGCCCTGTTCGAGTTGTTGGTGCAGGACTTCCTCGACCTTCATGAGTTGGGGGTGTCCAGGGCCCAGCTCCAAGACGCTACGAGGATGCAACTGTTGAAGGAGTCCATCATGCCAGCAGCCGACAGGCTCTCAGTGAACCGCCTGGGAGCACTCCTGAGCACGCTGCGACGGTGGAGGGAATTTGCCCTGCGGTTGGGGTTTGAGCTGGCTCAACCCACCGCGCTTCAGTTGAACACCTTCCTCAAAGAGGTGGCCCGTGGCGGACCTACAGCTGGCTCGGCCGTCTTTCACGCCCTCAACTGGTTCCGGGCCCAGTTTGGTGTGCAGTTCCCTCTGGATCACTGGCTGGTTCGCGGGTTCAAGCTCCTTCCAGTCGGGCACACCTCACAGCAAAAGTTGGAATTGCAACCATGGGAGTTCGTGAACATGCTTTTGAAACTTCGTCAAAGCTCAGGTACCAACTCCCTGGTGCTGGCCTTCATGCTGTGGGCTGCAGTGTCGTGCATTCGGTTTGAGCACGTGCAACGCTCCAAGTTTGACAGGAGCGAGGCCAATGCGCTGTTCTTCACCTGCTCCCAGGGCAAGGCACGGCGCCAGGGAGCCCGGCCTGCTTTCCAGTGGGCGATGCCAGACATCCCTTTTCCTGGGTTCAGCTTGGTGAAGATCGTACAGGACTTCGTCACCCTGGAGCTTTTGCCGGAGCGCAACTACCTTTGGCCGGCTTTGCAGCTGGACCCGCTGGATTTGTGGCAGGTGACTGAACACACCCCTTGGCGCCTTGACCGCAAGCTGTCACGCGGACGCTTCCTGGAGCTCCTCCGCGGGGCGCTGTTGGATCTAGGCACTGCTCCTGACCAGGCACAGACGGCGGGGTTCAATCGTCTGAGACGGTTCCTCCCGACCTTGGGGAACGTGGTTCGCCTGTCCCCTCAGGACCAGCAGGCAGTGGGCAATTGGGTTGAGATCCCCACTGGTGGGGGCCCAATCCCCAATCAGAAGTCTCGCGCCACTTGGACGATGGGCATCCACTACAGCGGCCAGAGGGCCCTCCACTCCGCCCTGGTGAAGAAGGCCTTGTTGAAGCGGTTCATGCGCCTGTACCATGCCAAGAAGGCGGAGCTCGCGTTGACCGATGAGGGCCTCCATCCACGAGACAGTTGGACGTGGGCTGAACTGGCGGCCCAGAATGAGCAGCTGGGTGACATGGGACTGAGCTCCCGGCACCGCCTGAGGCTGAGCCTGCCCCACCGCTGCCCGTTGATGACTCGGCCGCTCGTGGCTCGGCTGATGTCCGACCTGGCCCCACTGTGCAGGAGCCCTCTTCGCCACATGGGACCGAGCCTGAACCGGAAGCCCTGGACAACCAATCGGATTCGGCTACATCATCCGCTTCCTCCGATTCAGCGTCGGACGTATCCAATGAGGCCACGGACCTCGAGGGAGCCATCTCCACTGATGACGTGGCTGAGACCACGCATTGGCTGGTGCAGGGCACCAAAGTCCACCTCATCCGAGGCGAGACAGAGGGCCGTCTCCTGCCTTGGTGCCGGGACGCACCCTTTTCGCAAGATCCTGGATCTACCGGAGAAGGATTCTCCGTTGTTTCGCGCCAGCGTTTTTGCCAACGATGCTTGGCACGTATGCCCCGAGGTTTGTACCGGGCACTGGCACGAAGCTGCGGGTGGTTGAATTGACACACCCCCGCCTCGCGTATCAGGAAAAAGAATGCCTGCGCCCTGCCTCCGGTCCGTCGTTCGTTCGGGTGCGGATGGGCTTCCGCCTGTTTTGGTTAGTGCACACCTGCCCTTTTCCCCGGGGAGGGGTCCGTCCGTGGCCGGCCGCCCTTTCCTTTTTCCGTTTGTGTCCGGACGGGGTCGGGGAGGGGGCCTGCCGCCCGCTTGCACACGACTGATTGGGAAGGGAGTGGGAGCTGGTAGCGGTTTTCTTGATGGGCAACCCCCCCGCTTTGAAGGTTTGCCACGGGAGTTTCCTTCCGGCATCCGTTCGCGGGTACGGCCTGTGTGTTTGTGATGTGTCTTTGACACCGCAACCATGGCCCAATCCAGCTTTCTCCAACGACATCGCATGCGCGTCTGAGCGGCCCGGGTGGAGCTGTGCTACCCAGACCCCCGGTAGACCATCGACGCTGCGCCATGAGCAGAGGCCATACGATCGACGCGTTGCAGGATGACCGTGGCTTGGCCACCTGCTTCCAGGTCTCCAACGTCCTCCCGGAGTGGGCCGAGGCTGTGACCCGTGCCCATAAGTGGGAAACCTTGGAAGATTTCGTCTTCTCCGTGGACGAGAAGGACGTTCAGAGTGCCATCCAAGCCCTCCTGCTTCCCACAAGCCTCAAAGACAACCGGCTGGCACAGGCTCGCCTGAGAGCGGCCTACGCAGCAGGAGCTGAGGCTATTAAACAAGCCGCACAAGCAGCAAAATCATCTGATGGGGTCGACGACCCGTTGCCCGAATCCACAATGGAGCAACTCAACCGGGACTTTCGAGCGAAGTATGCCATCACGGTTGAGGCTACCCTTGAACCCAGTGACGCTCTGCGAGCCCGGGTTTACAGGGAATTCAGAAAGAAGACGATGTCGGTGGTGCCTGCCTCCCGCATCAAGTCGGTCCTCCACCAATCTACACCGAGACAGCAAGATGCAGTCAAGTTGGGCGAAGGAGTCCAGTTGGAGTTTCAGACCGAAGAAGCGCGCACCATCCGCACCGTGGTGGACTACTACTGGTCCCTACGCACACTGGCTTATGCATGGGCATGGGCAGGATTGCACCGCCAACGACGCCACGATGGCAAAGAGACTGTCTTCATTTCCCTGACAGCGGCCAACAACTATGCAGACCATGCTCTCTATAGTGCTATGGAATTCGGGCAAGGGTCTCGTTTGTGGTTGGAGCGCAACGACCTCTTGACCCGCACCAAGATGGCCAGCTACATCCGTCAGGGCTACAATGCATGGGAAGCGCTCCAAGAGGCCCTCCGTGAGACTCACCTGGAATGGCGAGCGAGTGCAATTCAGGCAGTTCCCAATGAGCCAGCCCAGCCGGGCTGCCCCGGGTGGCAGTGAGGCTGGGCCTCCTGCACCCAAGAGGCGTCAGGTGAAGCAGGACTCCCACCAGACCATCTCGATGTTGAAGGGCGGCGTCAGGTTGTGCAAGCCTTGGAATGACGGCCGTGGATGCTCAAACATGAAGTGCCCGCAGGTCCACAAGTGTGATGTCAAGCTCCCATCAGGGAAACCCTGCCAAGGCCCTCATACCCGCCTGGCCCATCCCATGGAATAGGGACAACTCCCCCCCAGCAGCCTGTGTGCTGCGGGGGGTTGGGCACCCGTCCAGGCACGACACGCCTCCAGCTTCGCCTTCGGAGCCTGTGAGAAGGGTCACTATGTGCATGCCGGCGGCGCCCAACCCCACCACGCTGGCACAGCGCTTGGCAGGCGCCAAGCCAATCACTTGGCGCGGCAGGGGTGACCTTCCCCAGTTCCCATGGGGCCACCCAGTCAGAGGCACGTGGCTGGTGCTGGATCTTTGGGCAGGAGTGGGTGGCCTGTGCTTGGCATTGCTGGCTTTGGGCGTGCACATATATGCAATCAGTGCTGAGAGCGACCCTGAGGCTAGTGCCGCTGCCCTGGCCACCATGCCCAATTTGGTTCACATTGATACTGTGGAGGCCATTCGGGGTGCAGACCTCCGGCCTTTCCTTCAACGCCGCCAGGTGCGAGGAATCACCCTGGGAGGTGGTTCGCCGTGCCAGGGCAACTCCAGTTTGAACCGGGGTCGGAAAGGCTTGGCTGATCCTAGGTCTCAGCAGCCGGAACACTTGCGGCGCATCCGGGAAGAAATTTTGGCCCTACCAGAGGCCCAGTCGTGCGAAGTCATCACCTTCCTGGAGAATGTAGCCAGCATGCCCTCGACCGTGTGTGATCAATATTCCACATGGCTGGGAGCCCGCCCAGTGCTCATCGACGCTGCGTGTTGTGGGTGGGTGCATCGACGACGCCTGTATTGGGTGGCTTCACGCACTGCAGGGCTTTCGCCAACATGTACTCCACCATCCTCCTGGGTTTGGCGTGAGGACACCGAGGTTACCCACCCGGAGTTACTCTACAATGGTAAGAAACCGATCCCCACCCAGGTGTGGTGGGATGACCAATTTCGCCCACTCCTCGACCCACAGCAAGTCTTGCGCAACCAGGGGGGCCGGCGCTATGCATCCCTTCACAAGGGAGTTTTACCACCCAGCTGACCGAGTCGCTCAGGCCACACCGGCCGCTGCGGCACGGTTCCATGAGGATCATCGCCGGTTCCCGCCCGCCGCTTATGAAGAGAACTCACTGTTGTGGTCTGGCGACCAATGGAGACAGCTATCCCCAGACGAGCGGTCCCAGCTGTTGGGTGTGCCAGTGGCGGCCACCCACGCAGTCCGGGGGTCGCAAGATCAAAGAACCAAGACCAGGAATTCCCTGCTGGGCAATGGTTTCCACCTTCCCAGTGTCATGGCCTTGCTGTGCTGCCTTCCCTCTATCATGGCTGCAAAGTTGATCCCACAACCTTTGGACTTTGAGGAGACCTCCTTGGTGGAACGGCTTAGTCATACCATATGGTTGCCTGGGCGCCTAGCAAATATGCCGGGACTGCTCACCTATGATGACGTCTGCAAGGAACTCCGCGCTACCTTCCCGTTCTTGGAGGAGACAAACCCGGTTTGGGGTACCACTGCACAGCGCTTGATGGCCTGTGAGCTGTCCGCGCTTCAGGCATATCCCATGTGGCGCCGCCTACGACAAGAGCCCTGGACTCTGTCGGGGCCGACCCCGGTGTGGGGCCGCGAGCGCACCGCCATCTATGCTGGGCTCACGGGGCAAAGATACGCCAGCAACTCTACAAAGGGCCTTGATCACCTTCTGCCCCCTGGGTTGGGCAAGGAGGCACACATCAGAGCCTCTTCAGTGCTTCCGTCACCGTTTGCTCCCAGCCCATGGCCGGAGCCTGATGTGGCCTTTGTCATCCAAGCAGTGGCAACATGGCAACAAGCTCTCCCGCGGTGGGCCGAGAAACTCCGGCACATCTTGCTGACAGTGGCACGAGCTGTGCAACCCTTGGAAGAGGCGCTGTCCCCCTTTCGATGCCAGAGCGCTCGGAAGGTGGCAGCTATGAAGCGACCAGCGTTTCTGGCAGCTATGGTGGCCATTCTTCGATGGCCAGACAAGCAGCTCGCCCGTGCATTGGTGGTGGGTTTCAACATCGTGGGAGAACTTGCTCATTCAGGTATTTTCCGCCCTATTGTCCAGGAGGGGAAATTGCCCTTGGAACAGTGGCTGGGCGCGGCAGCTGAGGCAGACCTAGCTCGCCTCCTCCGTTCTCGCCCTCCAGAGCATGTCCAAGACATCCTCGACTTGACACAGGAAGAGATTGAAAAAGAGTTTTGCTCCCCGCTTCGGACGGCTCGTGAGATGGATGACCTTTTCGGTGTGGGCGGTTGGAGGTTCGTTGAACGGTTTTTAATCATCCAACCTGATGGAAAGAAACGAGCCATCGACAACGCTCGGAAAAGTGGCCACAATGTTCATACCACAATGCGTGAAACCATCTCCACGGTCAATGTCGATTTTTGTGCTTCGGTTGCCCGTATGTTGCACACCGCCCTGCAATTCCCATTGGGTTCCCCCCCCCGGAATGGCTCGACATCCGTCTGGGTACGGACGACCTTCCCGATGCTTACCGTGGGCTTCCGGTGACTGACGCTCACCTGCCTTTCTCCAATGTGGCAATCTTTGTCCCCGGAGTGGGTTGGCGTTTCACATGTATGTGGGGCTTGGCCTACGGCCTTGAAAGTGCGGTGGTGAACTTCAACCGGTTCCCCCAGCTCGGAATAGCTGTGACACGCCGATGCCTGTTGGGGTGTGCGGCGGCGTATTTTGATGATGAGTTGGCAGTGGAATGCATTCGAGATTCTGATGTATCCCAACGCAACCTGCAACTCGTTTTCCGTTTGTTCGGCGCACCCCCGCAGAGCGCAAAGAGTTTCGCCCCTGCACCCAACCGCCACTACTTAGGACATCTGTCCACGTGGGAGACTTTGGTATGATGGGGGTCATTCGGTTCCAACCCAAGACCTCCACCACCATGAAAGTGCAAGCCAAGCTCCACGAGGCAGTGTCCACAGCCCAACTTCGCCCGGATGATGCGGGGAAATTGCGCGGCGATCTCAACTGGTTGTTTAGCATGTGCGCCGGACACGCAGGGCGTTTTGCGGGCCCTGTGTTGGCCGCAAAGCAACACGCCACTGGTCCAGATCTGGATGCTGCTGAGGTAACCACCTTACAGCTCCTGAGCGTCATGCTCCAGCAGGCCAGGCCCAGGGATGTTGACGTGAGCTCGGCCACCAGCTCCCCCCTGGTCATCTACTCCGACGCATCATTTGAGCAGGGTATTTTGCGGATTGGCTGGGTCATCATGACATCCCCGCCTCTCGGAGTGACATGCTTAATTCCTCCAGAGGTCACCTCGTCATGGATTGAGCGCCACCAGCAAATATACCCGGGAGAGACACTTTGTGGACTCTTGGTGCCTTGGATCCACAGTGATCTCCTACAGGGACGTGACCTCCTCTGGTTCGTAGACAACGAAGCTGCAGTTTCCTCATTGATCAAAGGGTCCAGTGGACAATGTGATGTCCATACCATTGTGCAGTTGGCTCACCTTGTTTTCCAACGACACCATATTCGGCCGTGGATCGAGTGGATCGACTCGGCTAGCAACCCGTCTGACGGGTTATCTCGGTTGGGTCTTGAGGATCTGTGGACCCAAGCCCAACCCTGGTGTGTGAAAGAAATTCCTTCCCCCACCGACCTTTTGTTTGTTGCACGGCCCTCGGACCTTCAACCTTTTCTCTCCTTATTGAACAGTGGGTGATTTTGGCATACAGTGGGTGATCAGGTATGTTCATCGAAGATGACATAACCAGCTAGTCTGTGTGTTGTTTAACCACGACTGTTTTCCCAGTGTTTTCAACACTGCTGTTCAATGTTAGGAGCGTGTGTGGTCTTGGGCCCTCCGCCCTGTGCGAAGACCTTCGTTTCTCCACGGGAAAAGAAGAGTCGTGCTTTACCGTGTGGAACCGTCCTGTATGTTTCTTATCAATCAATATGAATGGTTGGTTGGGTAGGGACATATTGAGATGTGAAACATATAGTGAGGGATCCTCAATCTTATACGCCATTTTGGCTCAAGATTGGGGATTCCCTCGATTTTCTTCCCCACCCACTACCACCCTTGACACCCTCTGCGGGTACTATAGGGTAGGGTTCGGGTTTTCCTGCATCTACCCCCTTGAGGGTGATCAGGTATGTTCATCGAAGATGACATAACCAGCTAGTCTGTGTGTTGTTTAACCACGACTGTTTTCCCAGTGTTTTCAACACTGCTGTTCAATGTTAGGAGCGTGTGTGGTCTTGGGCCCTCCGCCCTGTGCGAAGACCTTCGTTTCTCCACGGGAAAAGAAGAGTCGTGCTTTACCGTGTGGAACCGTCCTGTATGTTTCTTAAAAAAACACATAAATAAATATATATATATATACACACATGACTTGATTCAGGTGTCCTATCCTATCTCTGCAAAGTTTTGAGCTGCAGGTGGCACCAACAACCGCTGGAGAAGGAACCGACAAAACCCATTGTCGGGCCTCCCAGATGAAGCCTATTGGGCCATGGCTGCCAAAACATGAGCTTCACGAACCTCCAACCCACACCAACCCACACCAACCCTCCAGGTCATCAAACTGTTTCCGATTTTGCCTCCAAAGTCTCCGAGCAGAAAACCCCAGCTGCAACCCTTGGGGAGCGGGGAGGTTGGCAAAACAGAAGTTTTTTGGCAGGTTTGCCACTACTCGGCTACATCTGATGCCATCTCAAGATAGAAGCAGTAGAAGCAGACTCGCCATGACCTTGTCTTTCTCCTACTCTGTGTGGGGCACAGACCTGAGCCACAAGAAAAGGACCTGAGCCACGAGGGATGCGACTGTGACAATTCCAGGGCCCGGATCTCTTTCTTGGTGGGAGTACTTGTGCTAGCGAACTTGCTGCCACGACAATTTCCATGTTTCATCCAGATGGGTGGCTCCGGATGAGTCCGGCACAGTTTTCTTGAGAAGGTGATGAGGCCCTGAAATACATTCGACGGTTTCAAGAGACTCAATTTATCCCATTTGTTCTCTGCTTGTTGGCTTAAGCTCTTTCACAGACCATACAGATCCCTCTTTTCCAATCTGCCCAGTTCCTTCAGGCCGGCCGAGAGCCTTCCAGGTTGGGGAGCTGGGTCGTGTGGGGTGGTGTGGTCGTGTGTGGTTCCAGAAGTTCCGGGAGGTAGCACGCGCAGTTGGCTCGCGGAAGGCGCTGGAATTTCTCGTTCCACTCCATACCCATCCTTTTCGTCCCGGAAGTTTGACTGACTCATGGTCTCGTTGGGGGGGATTGTCGGCAGGTGGTTCCTGGTCTTGTCGGGACACCCTCAGGAACGACCCGCACCAGTCGTTCATGAACCTTCTGGTGTTTCACCCGGCCGGATGGAAAGCTATGCGAGAGTCGGGATCTTCGGGGTCTTGTGGGGTTTTCGGTTCTGGGTCTTCCTTGTGGAGCATTGAGACTTAGCTCCAGAACCTTGAGCAGTCCAGACATGTGAGATGGGTATGTGGAGGTCCCGGAAGTGTGGAGAAGAACCTGGGAAGTGGGCTGCAGTGGTTCATGTGACTGTGGAACTATTGCAGGTGAATCTGCTTTGGTCAGTGAGCAAGTGCCTGACGGCCTCCAGGATCCAGGCACTTCCTTGCAGCCATTATAGATCTTCCAACCTGCGGCTTTTGAAAATACCCACCCTTCCTACGATGTGTTGGTGTGACATCAGAGATGTCTTGATGTGTTTGCGACCATGTGCAAGACACACACACACACACACATACACACACACACACACGCAACATGACACCGTGGCTTCTTTTTCTGGCCAATGGGTCAACGTCAGGTTCAAACGCAGAGACACAGAAAGACGGCCATGCCGGGTCAGGAGTCGCTGAAGCTCGCAAGGCGCACGGGGGGGGAGGGGCACGGGTCGGTGCATTTCGGATGCACGGACACTGCGTTTGGGGTTGAAGGCTTTGCATCATGTGACCATGTGACAACGTTTGTTTTGGTTGATGAAAATAGATCCTCACACACGCATTGAAGGTGCCAGCACAACTCCCGGTCGAAATCTCTGAGGAGGAGAACGAGGCTGCCGCGCATGTTTCTACTTATCATTCTGGATAGCATGGGCCGAAGGGAAGACTCGGTGTATGCTTATATCCAGAGGGTGTGCTAGATGTTGCAATTTGGTTGGTACTACACAAAGAGAACGGATTTTGCCCGGGGAGACTTGTTCTTTTTGGTTTATTTGCCTGCTAAGCTCTTTGAACTTCTGGAGGGAGAAGCAGGATCGCTGCTCAACTCAAGGGCTGCTTTTGGTTGTTTTCGGTGCTGAAGCTCAATGGCCAAGGTAGAGGATGGCTGATTGAAGGTGTGCCAAGAGCCTTATGACATGCATTTTCCAAAGAACGACAAGAAAAGACACTCTTCAAGTTCTTCGATCGGCTTTCTAGTCCCGGAGATGCTGTGAAAGCTGGGAGTTATGAGGAACATCCCTCTTGTCGACTCCGACAGCTGGGCTCACGAAGGAAAAACACCTTCCGGATTCACGAAGCTGAATGATTCCAAGCAAGTCAGGCACATGAGTCGCAGCTTCCGAACAATCTTACCGAAGGAAGCTGCCCAGTTTCCTTCGGTCCAAAAAGGGGACAAGGAGAACTTCGGTCCGAAAAGGACTCTTTGAGTTCAAGATGGATGCACAGACCACCTCCCGAGACGGATCTCTGAGACGGTGCTGGCTCAAATTGCTCGATTGCTTGTTTGAGGCAGTTTGGGCTGGTCGTCAGATCGGCTCTGTTTGTTTGGTCTGATTATGCACAATCAGTCTCAGTGGCAAGCCTTTTAGATGGGAGTGTGGCGGTTTGGTTGCGGCTGGAAGCTGCAGTGTGTCTCTATGTTGGGCCTAGTGAAGTTTGAGGGTCGCTGCCAGCATTCTGGGGGTCTTCTTGCAAGTGTTGTGATTGGTGCAGGAGGCAGCCATCGTTCAAAACGGTGTAGCCCTTGCGGTGCACGATACTGTGACACTGGTGAACGTGTTTTCAGAGCGGCCGAGCAAAACGCTGCAGACCTCCGTGCCTTTCTTGGCAGACCTCAGCGGGTCCGAGGCGATTTCTACACAGTGAGCTGCGGGTTGCGGCCCACCCGTGCAAGCTGCTGTCATGGCATGCGCAAAGCATCACAAGAAGTCCGAAGCTCTTGTAAAGAAGAGGAAGCTATGACGATCACAGAAGGGAGATCCAAAAGCTGGCATCACAGCAAGGGTTCAGGCTTCCGATGATTGAAGCAGTTCTTTTCCTGCTTCGTGCTGAAGAGAGCTGACTAGCCCAACATCTTCTCCCAGCCTACTATGCCCGATTTGCCTCTTGCTCTTCAGCAAACGCTCGGAGCACCGCTTAGGCTTAGACCACCCCAAAGGAATGCAAATTGCAGCCCTTCCGAGCTGACCGCGAGGTTGCTGCGTTCATCCGCGTGAAACCTCCCACTTGTTGTAGTTTTGCACGCAATGTGTGACTATAGTAAGCCATGTGTAAACAATTATAAACAGTATATATATACACAGTATATTTAGCATTATTACTTTTATTGTTTTTGTTAATGTTTATTTAATGTTATTAATCATATATATATATATACACACTATATAAGCGGCATGCATATATATATATATACACATACATACATACACATTTGAAAAAAACATCACCCAAAAACCATTTTTAACCGATGGTTTGGGGCACGGCATCATGACCTCACACTGTAGAATCTGATTTGCAAAACATGGTAGGACAAATACATCTACCACCTAATAGCAATGGCCTCCAACCTAGAAGCGATGGCCTCCAACCTACTAGGTTTTGCTGAGTTTCTTCCACCACCACGTATTGCACGAGGTGTTTCCCAATTTTTGGCCACTTCGTCGCCACTTCAATTGCGATCCCACGAACGGGTCAGGCACATCCGGAAGGCGAGTGGGCATTTTTCTGGGGGGATTCTCGTTGTGGTTGGTGGGGAGGAAAGTCCATGGGAAAGGCAAGGTTGGATGGTTTGGGTATGGACGCCGGGATGTTGGTTTGGGTATGTGGAGCAAGGTCGCGAATCCAATTCAGACTTGATGAAGTTGCTCACCCCGGAGTGTGTCACTGGGATTTGTCAGGTGCCAAGAAGAAGTCCAAGAAAAAGAAAAAGAAGAAGCAAAAGGATGACGGTGCCGAAGAGGCTGAGGACCACCTTTCTACCATGGACACTGCAACTGCCTCTCTCGACAGGCACGAGAGAGATCTTGTTTCGACAGTATTTTGCAAGGGTTCTACTCTTCGAACCTACACAGGCGCTACGCTGGACAAAATGTGTTTGTGCACTTGTTTCTTGGATCTTGGCCCATCAAATCATCGAGTCCGGTCCTCCTTTGCAGACCGTCTCCTTCAGCTTTCATGAGAAGTGTGAACTGTGTGAACGCTGCAGGAGCCGCAAAACGAGCCTGCAAAGCAGGACGAGATGGAGGAGGAGGAGGAGGAGAAGGTTCCGGGGTCCAAATCGCAGTCTTTCCATGGATCCATATGAACCTGTTTCCGAAATGGACGTCTCCTTTCTCGGAGATTACCTTTGAAGCGGAGGCTCTTGGAATGCCGCTTTTCCAGGAAAAAGCCATTGGGGAAACTCTAGCCTACTATTTCCACCCTACCTCGACCATCCGATGCAGGTGGATGGTAGCTTGGTGGGCGCCTCAGAAAGGGGAAGCCAGCTTTCAGCCAGTTTCCGCGTGCTGGCAGAGCTGGGCATCTCAAACATGTCCCAGTCACGTGTTTGCTTGGATGTAAAGCACACATGTCGGTTGCAAACGTCGAAGATGTCCACATCGACCTGTACGATCGACCTCTGAATGCTTCCTTGGCTGTCTGGCAGTGATGCATGAGGCGGCCCACTTCTCCAAGACTCGCTTTTCAGGGCTGTCAGACTCGGAAGAGGAGGTGTGGAGATGGACCGCAATGGGTCGTCTATGGTCGTAGAAAGGTACTGGAAGCTAGGATAGAAGAGTCATGAAGACCCCCTGGGCCTTGCTGTGCTTTCGTGGACTTTTGTAATGGGCTTTGTCCCTGGTTGTGAGTGTTTGCCCAGGCCAAGCCAAAGCCTGCGGCCAAGAAGAAGGAATCGAAAGATGCCAAAGACACGAAAGCCGCTAAAGCAAAGGCCAAGACACCGGCCAAGGCATCCGCCAAGCCCGCAGCAGCTGCAAAGGCCCCTCCGGGTTCAACAGCAGCACCAGTCGCAACCAAAGCGCCTCCAGCGCAGATTCCACCTACAGCGCCAGTTGGTGTAAAGGCGCCCCCAGCACAAGTGGCGCCTACAGCTCCAGTTGCTGCAAAGGTGCCCCCAGCGCAAATAGCACCAGCA